CCATCAACAGGCACATAGAGATAAACAACATCTACACACTATTCAAAACAGACAATAAAAAAGATCAGGACATCTCCTCACCAGCAAGCTTCACCCAGATAAGCAGAGATTAACACCAAGATTATTGCCAGACATACAATCAAGCAGTAAACAATACCCTAATCAAGGAACTGGCAGGGCAGGCCGCTGTATATAAACAGAGAGCAAACCCCATCCCATTCTAGCAATGAAGATGTTACCTAGCCGGGTAACAAAACTTCCACAAGAAAACAACCAAGCTCAGAGAACCCCAAGGACTCCATAATGCACATAAGAAGATAAACAGAAGCTTTACACTGCAGGGTTCAACTGGGCTGCTCCTGTGGAGTGCACTTTTCTGCATAGGAATTGCACTATTACCACAGCCTAAAAGGCTAAACGCCCTGGAGGACTGACACAGGGAATTCAATTATGGATGTTGTGTCCAAGGACAAGTGAAGGAATTGGGAAAACTGCCATCTGAAACTCACTCAGCAGATACAGTAGAGAAGGTGCTGAGGGATACTGGCGATGGTGTCAGAGAGCTAGAGTGGCTATTCCAACATTTAGACTTAGTGACACATGGAAAAAGAAGAGATAGAGAAGGGTGTGAGAAAAAAGGCAAAAGGACAAGATAGGAAGAAAAAAGTGAATGAAGAGAAAAGCAAAGTAGAAGAACTGATAATTTATTAAGTGTAATTTCATACAATGGCTACTGATTTATGAACTCTGACAAACTTGTGGCCTGCATTGCCCAAAGGGGAGTGTGTGGAGCTGCAAACTGGTAGTGAGATTTGCAAACAGACAACTGTGCAAAGAAAGCAAAATGAAAAACCAGTCTTGCTCACTGAGTAACAGAAAGGGAGCTGAAGGGTTCCCCCCCAGGGGGAGGGGGGTTTCTTGAAGTGGAAAAGCAGGGAGGAGGAAATTCTGCATCCAGAACCCAAATTGAGGGCAAAGTGAGGATTGCTCACCCATAGAAAGCAGTTTCACACTTTGGGTGTCTTCATGGGTCCTGTTCAAGAAGATGTGGGAAGTCATGACGAGAAGGCCTCTTCTCCAGCTTCAAGTGATAGACCAATTGCAGTCTTATATGCTTATACATAAACTTATATGCAGTGTTATGTATATAAAACTGGACACACTGGAGATGGTCAATCTTGTCCTTGCCTTCTCCTGTCTGGATTACTGTCATTTGTTCTACATGGAGCTGCCCTAGAAAACCACTGTGACATTTCAGTTGCTGCAAAATATAGCTGCCTGTAGGGTTCCTGCGGAGTTCCAAGACGGATGTCTTGAAGTTTAATGGAATTATTTGCCCATCTAATATTAACACTGGAACACTGAAAGTATAGTGTTGTGGGCTTGAATATTCAGCAGTGAGATCACCACTCTTCTGTAAAATAACAGGAATATTCAAACTCAATAAATATAACAGTACAAATTATCCATTTTAGTATGCAGTCCTTCACACATGGTATCCAAGTAGTGCCAAAAGCATTTGGCATTAAAACCTGAATATTCACAATTCTGAGAAACAAAGCAGCATGACTCTTATTTATCACCCACATGGGACCTCACAGAAAGCATTGCTTGACTACGGAAACAAAACCAAAAATTAAAGAATTATTATTTTTTCCCTATATGAGTATCTTGTGTTGATTCCTGGGAGAGCTAAACTGAATACTTGTTTGATAAGTAGAAATCACCAGAGACACAGAAATATTAAAAGCTCCTTCTTCCTTGGCAAAATGTCTTCAGAAGATAAATTTAATAACATCAGGTACGACTGGAAGAGTACTTAATGCTGGAAGCCGAAATTGCCAGAGAAGGCAAAGAAATATGTGAAGAAAAGTTTGTAAGCCATCTGTATAGCTTTTTTTTTGGGGGGGGGGAGATATAAAGGTACATAATTCTTATTTCCTGAAATAAGCTAACATGAATATCAGTTATCTAAATGTATACTAAGGAATAGTTTTATCATATTACTTTACACTCTCATCACTTGTATAGAGAACTGTTTGAAATCTCTCTCTCACACACACAAATGCATAAAATTTATGAATTTATACAAAGAGTAAAGTGAGGGAAAACAAATGAAATATTTTCCATCTGACCATCATTTTTATAGCAGTCTCCCTGATAAAAAATATGTACTGTGTAGAAGAAATGCAGATCTATGTTTTTTAGAGTTACATTAAAAAATTCTAATGGTCAAGTTAAATAAACAAATTTTTATTCAATTGTTCTCTTGAAGTGCCTGTTTCCAAATCTAGTTCCCATGGACACTTAATTTTTGCTGTCTCAGTGTAAGGTACCCTTTCATAATTGAAGACAAAATTAAGATATGAATTCAAATTAACTGGTCAAATATATGTAAACTACATTACTTTTACAATGAAAACTTGACTGATTAACAAGGGAAAGAGAAAAAAATTATATTCTTTTTCTTTTTTGTTCAGTGTCCTTGCTGACACTGTTACAGTGATGTAGTTCTGTTCCTAGGGATGTGGAATGGGCTCCTATGTCGTTAAACAATTAGATCGACTGTCCAGTGCAGAGCTAACTTCATTAGACTTCTCTTAATCAAAGGTTTGGAAGCTTCAAACAATTATACTGAGGGGTGTACTTTGAACATGTGTCTGCTTTCCACAGCTGCTGTGTAGAAATTCTACATGTTCATTGTCCAAATTAATCTGGAGGTCACTGGATTGGGGGAAAATGATCTGTGATGTCTCTTTCTTTTTCCTCCAGTTTCTGTCCATATACACACAGTCACACACAGAGAGACAAACACACACCCAACAACAATACATTTTATTGATTAGTCTTCCAACCATATCATCAAGCTGTAAAACCAATACAGAGAAAACAGTAGGGTGTATTCATAATAAATTGTCACCCATGTAGTCAACCCCCACCCATTCTAGTTAGTCTACCCTCTTCAAAATGGCCTTTGATACAAAAATTGCAGTCTTGCTAGTGATATGCAGGTTCATTCCCTGCATGAAGTAAGACAGTTTCTCCTGATTTTATTTTATATAGATACACAATTTTTCTTCAAATGGAACTCCATGGAACCTCCCATATCTTATCATGAAATCTAGTTGTTCAAAATACGTGTGTGTGTGTGTGTGTATACATACACATATGCATACATACACACACCAGAATCCACTGTACATCGCAAAATTTCTCTGTCATTAATCAGTGTACAGGAATATCAGGCAGTCGATTTGTTGGTGCATTAAAAAAAAAAGATTTTCCTCACAAATTTGGACAAATATGAGTATTGGAAGAAAAGGGCATTTCAGCTGAGATAATATTTCTGCAAAGGCAAATTAATTAGTGTTGCATCCAGACGTAAAATAAGTGAATATATTTTCCCCATCCATACTTCGCATTATCTCTATCTCTATCAAAAGGACAAAACAAAAGGAAATAAAATAGACAGCACAGATATAAATGGAGTGGCCTTTGTTCCAGCTTTAGCCCATTTATATACAAATCAATAGCAGAATATAGATGGAAAGTGGGACACAAGGTGATCCCTCCTCTGTATCCAACAATTCTGGAGAACTATATCTCAAACAATTTCAGGGTGAAGGAGCAAATATCTACAAAGTTCCTGCTCTTTCACCATCATTTAACATTTGTTTGAAAGCCATATCTGTTTGTTTGTTTGTCTGTTTTAAATACTGCCTTTCTGGCAGGGTTGTTGGTTAAATGAGTCACCACCATTCTAAACAAAAATGCATTTGGAATTATGCTTCTTTACAGGGCAAAGGTTTTTGTACTGGGGTGCATTTGGAAAAGGAAAATAGTATATATATATAATAATAGTATATATAATTATATATATATATATATGTTACCTAGAGGTAAAATTATTTCCTTGTTTTAAAAGTACTAATGCAAGCCAGAGTTTGGAAACTTTAGAATTAAAATAAAAGTGAAAAAAAGGTTAGATGTAGGAATAGAAAATGATCTTCACTTGAAGCATGAAACTGGTATGTGGTTTCTCACAGCACAATTGATAAAAATAAGTATTGCAAATTCACTAGCTGAAATCTGGATGGAGAACCAGGCTAATAGTTCCATTTCATAAACTATGGAGATAAAATCAGTAGTTTTTCAGGATTTCCTTTACTGAAGCACTATTGTAAAAATACATTATACATGAAAACATTCTGGTTCATGTTCATTGATCAATGATTGGCAGAATTAGTATCAGACTGAATGAACTCCAATCATTTGTAAAAACTTTGGAAAACATCTAAAATATTAAATCTGAAATAATGAGACTATTACTAGAAGTTCCAATAAGAACAGTGATGGCAAAATAGACACCACTGACTAGGATCTCACTTATTCCAATTACACTAATAAACACTTACAATAAGCAGCATTTAACAAACTTCTACTTGTACATTTTTTCCCAGGGACATTCTGAGCTTTGTTGGAAAACATGGCTAATCAGTCCATAAACTATTCTTTTCTGCTCTTGGAATTCTCAGAGGTACGAGAACTGCAGATGCTTTACTTCTTTGTTTTCATGGTGTTGTATTTGGCAATTTTGACAGTGAATCTTCTCATCATTTCTGCAGTACTTTTCAACCATCATTTGCATACTCCCATGTACTTCTTCCTGATGAACTTAGCCATACAAGATCTTGGCTCCGCTTCAGTCATTGTCCCTAAAACCATGGCCAATACGTTCATGAACACAAGACGGATTTCTTATTATGGATGTGCTTCTCAAGTTTTTTTCATTGTCTTCTTTATGGGATCTGCTATTTGGATCCTCACAGTCATGGCATATGATCGCTATATCGCCATTTGCAATCCATTGCGCTATGAAAGAATTATGAACAAACAAGTCTGCATTTACATGATTCTTGCTGTATGGGTTGGTGGCCTTCTTAATGGATTCTTGCACACCTGCTTCACATTTGCACCCCCTTTTTGTTCCAACATCATCAGTCAGTTTTTCTGTGAAATCCCGCAGCTACTTAAACTTACCTGCACAGGTTTAAATCTAAATGAAATCAGACTAATGGTGTTTGTTTGTGTTTTAAGCATAGGTTGCTTTTTCTTTATACTTGTTACTTACACATCCATTTTCACTGCTGTGCTGAAAATTCGCTCCTTGGAAGGAAGGAGAAAAGCTTTCTCTACCTGCATACCTCATCTTATTGTGGTTTCCATGTTCTTATTATCTGGAGTCTTTGCTTATCTGAGGCCTCCCTCCCATGATTTGGATTTAGCATCAACTGTAATATATTCCCTTATCCCACCTCTTTTGAATCCCATCATCTACAGTATAAGAAACAAAAGCATCAAGCTTGCCCTGTCAAAATTATTAAATATGGGCAGCCCATCTGTTTTGATTTGCCTCTTATAAGTATATCGTGTATAACTGGAGTCATGATTCCATCAGCTCCAGGGATAAGATCACAAACTGAACTGGAATGTATTGTTCCTAACCCAGTAATCTTAAATGTGATCTCACAAGGTTCTGCAGATAACATGAATCTTATTTCGATAACCATGAGAATGGGGTCCCATGGGAGTCAAGGCTGATTATATCACTGAGTGACCATTCAGCTGGTTGGGGGATTTTTGCTAAACTTATCCTTCCGCATCTGGAGAAATATTTTCCACCATTCCATCTAATACATGGATAATGAAGCTGTTACTCTCCAGATACTGTTAAACTATCATTTATTGTTTTCTCACCATTTTTCATATATTTTTGCTATGTTGGGATTGTCTTTCAACAAATCCAGAGTGATCTAAGTCATTCACTTCTGATGTAATCTGTACTGAATCTGCTCTGCTGTGTAACTGAGATTTCATAATCCTCTTCTTTGGGCTATTTTGAAACATAAATTGTAGCACAGTCAATTATGGGTGCCTGTTGTTCGGCACCTATGACACATCTACTCCATGAGCTGCATTGGCTGCCGATATGCTTCCAGTTACAATTCAAGGTGCTGGTGGTTACCTTTAAAGCCCCTCATAGCCTGGGGCTGGGCTACTTATGGAAGTGTCTCTCCCCAGTGGTATCTACCCCTCCTATTAGTTCCAGTAAGAGAGGCATGCTCCAAGTCCCACCTATGAAGAAGTGTCATCATCTGGTGTGACCCAAGAAGAGGGCCTTTTCTGTCATGCTGCCTGCCTTCTGGAACATCATCCCTTGGAGAGTAGACTTACCCCAATCCTGCTGGCTTTTTGCAAGGCCCAAAAGACCTGATTTTGCTATCAAGACTGGGCCTGATTTCTTGGCTATATTGATTGGATGATGACTGTTAGTGTTTTTGCTCAGCTGCCATTTGTGTGTGTGTGTTTTTTGTGTAATTTCATTTGTTGTTTTTATTCTGTTTTTAATTGTTAACTGCCCAGAGTCCTGTACTTGAGATAGGTGGTCATATAAATTTAATAAATAAATAAACAAAGCTTTTATCTGGCCACAGTGGTGACCACTGATGTTGCTTTGTGATCAAAACTGAAGTGATTACATACCAAAACAGGGAACTGTCATTTAAAGGTATACGAGGAATCCTTATTTACGGCTTGAATTGCTAGCTTTGGCCATTTCTGTGTTTTGTTTTGTTTTCCTCTTGAGCAGATGTGAACTAGCTAAACATCCATTATGGAGCTCATGAAGCCTTGCCATCAAATGCAAATGATCTCCAAAAGTGATTGAAGTTAATATTTAATATGAAAGAAAGGGAAATAATCAATGCATGACATGGGTAAATAGATCATCCTAGTAAACCTAAGTTAGATTCTTTGTAAATATATTAAAAATGTTTTTGTCTGACCCTACCCATGAATTTTTGAAATGCAGATATATTACTCAAGGACTGAGTGCAGCCCTTCACCTGCAACAAGTATCCAAAAAGTATAATGAAGTTGCACTGGAAGGACTGTGGCACACGAAATAGGCTTCCGGTGGGGACAATGGCAGCTTAGTCATCTCTCCGCAAGAGGGGAGATGGCACTGTAGCTGAATTGGTAGCTGACAGCAAGCACTGGCCTCCTAACTTGCTCCGGATCAAGGAGGAAGCAAGAAATCAACCCATTTGGTCTCCGGGATGGCCGTTCCTTGTAAACTAATAGCAGAAACAGAAGCTTCTGCAAACGGCTTGCAAGTGAGCTGCTGGGAGGTAGAGGATCCATCTTCATTCACAGCTGTGGTGCAGTCTAAATATGGACACTAGATCTGGCCGAACCCCATTTCTAACCCACTTGGGAATGTAACTATTTTTTTAATGTAAGAGAGACCTTCCTTTGCAACAGATAAGTAATTCTCTTGGTGTTTTTTCATTATTTCTGGAACTGTAACTTCAAAAGAAGAATTAAAGTTTTATTGTAATTTGAACAACTCACAAAAAGCTGGAAGATAAGGAGAATACAACTATTTTTTTAATGTAAGAGAGACCTTCCTTTGCAACAGATAAGTAATTCTCTTGGTGTTTTTTCATTATTTCTGGAACTGTAACTTCAAAAGAAGAATTAAAGTTTTATTGTAATTTGAACAACTCACAAAAAGCTGGAAGATAAGGAGAATACATTAAAAAAAAAAAGACATAAAAGTTACCTATGGTGAAAGGGGAAAATTTATTTGTTGTAAATTTAATTAGTACTCCATCTGTACTAATTGGATTTCATTTTTCTATGGGAAAACTTTTTGTTTTTCTGTGATGTACCTGTTAATTGGCTGGATTTTCAAAACAAAAGAAGATAGTAATTTGAGCTTTTTGTGTATTCTCTGTTGGCACGTGCCTGCATATACAGCCTGAAAGGCAGTAGAGGGTGTGAACAGTCTGCTTACTTTCACTTATACAATAACTATGGTTGCTTGCTTTGGGGGAATTAAAGAAATGTCTAGAAAAGGCCCTTTGGAGCAGCCATTAGAAGATAAAATGACTTCTTTAGGTTCATTCCAATCAATGTTTGATGAATTAGCAGCTAAATCCAAATCCCTTGGAAATAAGATAGGGGAAAGATTGGATGAGATGGTTAATTTGGAAATGGAGGTAGAGATTGAATTGAATATAGATTTGAAGTTCAAAAAAATGCTGGATTATGAAGGTGGTATGAACAAAGATGCTGCGGATTCAAAAATGGATTTAAAAATGCCAAAAATGCTGTTTCTGGGAGAAGGCAAGGAGTGAATGACAGGGAATCAACTTGTGGGACACTATTTGAAAGGATTAAAGATTAAGCTCTTTAGAAGTAAACAAAGGGCTTACAAAGTGAACTTATTTGATTATGATTAATGTATATGTTGAGGGTTTTGGTGGTTACTAATGGGATCTTTTTCTGACCAGGATTGAATGATAAGGTTTTAAAGATCTTTGTATAAAAGGGGAGAGATTTAAAATAAACTTAAATTGCAAGGACTGTGATTCCTGCTTCCTGATAAATGTACAGTGTTTCTCCTTATCATTGTGATGATTCCAAACACTAAGTCCTTCTCTCGCACATACATACAGAGACATACACATATTTTCCCCTATTATTGCTTATTGCTCCCGTGGGATATTCCAAAGAACAGGTTATATGTTTAGAATTTTCATAAGAAATCCTCTCCATTTTTTTACTCAAGAAAATTAAATTCTTATGGATACATACACAGACATACATATTTATCAACTTTCGTATGTGGTATTTATGTGTGTATACAAGTATATACTCTGTGAGATTCTACCAAAATTTGATTCACATTAGAATTTTGAGAATCAAAGAGGTTATGATTAATTAAATCTACATTACAATGAAAAGTAAATTGATTCAATCAACTTTGTAACTGAATTTAGTAAAAGACCTGCCTACAGGTAATAATTGGGAAGCATCAAAATGCCTGCCTTTTTTCCCCCTCTCCTTTGCAGAATTAAATCAAAATGTCAGGGCTTTAATACTTTCAAAGTTTCTGATCTTCATTAAGGTAAAGAAGTCTATCAGATTTGAAATAGAAGAGACTATAAATACTTTATCAGCCAAAAGCCTGTTTAGAGTGACATTTGTCCATATGGAGACTGTTCCTGAACAAAAATGTAGACTGTAGCTTTGTTGTCCCATACTCTTCTTTAAAGTTACTTCCTCCTCTAGATTCAGCCTGGTTTCTGTCTGACAATAATTATTCTGTAATGATAATTCTTCCATAAGTTCATATGAAAACATTCTATATCATAATTATAAGGTATAATACAATAAATATGATAAATGTAGATATAACGTTTCCTGAATCTTTTCCTTTTAGGGCTAATGGATAAACAGAAAAAAAGTTATGGAAGGTTATTTCAATATATGATTGCTGTGATGTGATTATTATATGCACAGAGAAGGAAAGATTCAATTCCACCCACTATGGAGGAATGGTTGGTGAAATTGACAGAACTTTGAGATGATAAACTAATTTCTTTGATTAGAAAAAAGACATTATTTACATTTATTGGTGACTCAAAACCTCTTGTGAACATTTTGTGTAAAAATGGAAAACAATGAACTTATGATTTATGGTTTTGATGATTAGACAGGATAGATTATAGAAAGAAGAGTATTATAATGAAACTTTAGAGACAAACTATAATAGTAATTATAACTGCTGTGAAGAATATCAGAAGCTACTGCTTTGAATCTTTTTTCTTTCTTTTCTATTTTTAAGTTTTAATAAGTATTATATATAAAAAAGAAAAGAAAATTCAAGGAAATTCAGAGATACAAAATTGATTATCCATGCTTTATGTCAAGACATATTATATTTCTGAAAAGAAACAGAAGGATATGTATTATGAATGTGGCCTGATCTCATAAGTGTGAACATTGACACTACGTTATGCGGAGAAAAGGAATGTTAGAACAAGTGGGAATAAGTGGAATTCAGCTAAGACTCTGAATCATCAGAAACTGTCATCACAAACTTAATATGAACATATATCCATATGTAGACTGCATTCTCATCTTGGATTCAATGTTGGGGCACGTCATTATGATGTCACTGTCTTCTGTTGTTTTCAATTCCTTGCAACTTATGGATCTTAGGATTTAAACAGAAGGAGGTAAATTGAAAGTTAAAGTAAAATTAAAAGGAGGTAATTTAAGATTTTCTTATAGGCAGTAGCATAAGGCTATTAATTAAAAAAAAAACCCTTCCATTCACACAGAAAATCTGGATAATTATCAGCAAGCCTCAATTTCTGACTAAACGGATTGAGAAATTGGTGGCTTTATACATTTAGATGCATCTGGAGATACTGTAGGATAATCTGGTTTTGAATCTTTTTTCAGTCAGGCATTGAATTGAAATATATCAGTTTGATCAATGAATAACATGGTGGAAATAGTACTTCCTATAATATGGAAGCTAAAGGTCTATTGATGCAACTTAAGACA